CCCTGATCCAGCTTCTGCATAGCCAGAGTGGGATGAAAAATGAAATGGTAAGTTTCCTTCAAGTTGCCCCAGGTTTCTTTTAAATTAACTAATGTACTTATTCCCAAATCAAACAAGCATAAATACTGTTTCTTCCTACTGAGACAGACAGACAAATAGTCAAGAAAAATATAATGTATTGCCCATAATGGACATAGTATTTGCACGGAAGACAAATTCCTTGTGTTTACAATCACACTTGGCCAATAAAGAATTTATTCTATTCTATTCTATTCTGTTCTGTTCTATTCTAATTCCATTCTATTCCAATCTATTCTATTCTATTCCATTCCATTCTAAGAAGGATCTAATTAAAACAGAATAGAGTTGAACGATCCTGTGATCAGTGAATTTGTTATTAGATGGATGAACGAAGAGTGGAACCCCCAATAGCAGTGGCGTTGTGCTCTGACTTCACAATGAAACAAAGAAACTGCAGAGGAAGCACCTTACCCTTTCTATTGTGTGAAGAAATGGGGCAAGATGGTTAGTTTTAGAATGGTGTAGTGTTTGCATAAACAAGCTGTCTGCTTTTGTCTTCATGCAACTGCTATTAATGCTATTGAGGACCTGTTTAAAATTGAAAGCATAGTCCAGAGTTGCGGGGGGGTGGGTGGGGGCTCTTTCTCAGAGAGGAAAGTGACCAAAAAAGCTTGGAATCTTTGGTTTGCAGGGAGAGCAAAGGTAGTTTGCTCTCCTGGTAGTTCAGTGTATATCTAACAGTTATGCAGATAAGTGCTTTAGTCTGGCAAGATTTCTGGCAAGCAGCAGTAAAGAAACTACTCTGAAGTAACTCGTGTCATTCTTGGTTTTTTGGGGATGACATCAAAGGAACTTGGGATCTGGTCTCCACAGCCAAAAGAGGACGAATGGATGGGGGAAAATGTCCAGGATCAGAGAGAACAGGACAATCCACAGAACCAACTGTAGCCACATCATTATTCACATGGAACATGTCCTTTCAAGTCATTTTTTTTTTCAATTACTATACCTGCAGGGAAAACTTGAGGCATGACAAGAGGGAAAATATTTGTCAGACGTACAAGAAACTTGTCTTTGAACTGCTCAACATGGATTGCCTTTGAAACCCAGGTGGGGGCAAGGAATCAGTGGGTGAGTCATGCTTGCAGTGGCTGAGTGGAGTTTGTGCAGGTTGAGCAAATTCATCTTTCTCAAGCAATTTTATGGTTTTATTGGAGAAAAAAAAAATCTGTGTCAAGTGAATGGTTGCAGCGTTATCAGGAGCCAATTATAATCAGTTTGAAAGGAATCGAAGGCACAGACTTGTCATGAACCTTCCATCAGTTTTTTTAACACAAAGTAACACCTGTCTATTTCTTTTTAAAGCTTATGTTTGAAATCTGAAAAAAAAAATACTGTACGAGTAAGACACACACAAATATTGATTCTGAAAAACAATTGAAATAGACAAAACAAAATACAATCAAAAGGCTTCTTGAATTAAGCTTTGTTTTTGGTTTATGCCAAAATGTTTCACTGCATAGGCGTTATCAGTCTCCACCTCAGGTATTTTTCCCAGTAAAGCCATCGGCTTTGATCTTAAAATATCTAGGAGAATGATTCCATCCACAGGAGGACTCTACTGGCAAAAGAATGGGATAATTTTAGATTCCCCGCTTTACCCTAAAACATGTCTAGTACAGTTGCAGAAAGTTTTGGACAGTGGAGACAGTACTGACAATCTTGGCAGAAATAATATTTCTGTTGATGAGTTTACCCAACAGAGAGGATTCCTTTGAAGAGTTAGAGATATCCACTTCCTAGTTTCTAAAATATGAAAAGAGATTGTCTCTGTGTCTCCAACATTAACTCAGTGTAAATAAATTCAGAATTTCTACCACTAAGTGAGGCAGCCATAAAGCATGATATCATGTGACCCATCACTTAGCAATGGCAATCTTGGCACTACTTGTTGTCATGTAACCGAAACCCACTGGTTGTTAAGAGAGGATCTATCCCGATTCAAGCCTTCTCAGCTTGGTCCCTGCCAGCCTTGAACTTGGCCAGCAAGTCACTGGCTTCTCTTCAACTTTTCATCTCTCTGCTCTTTTGGCCTTGCTTCTGCCAGCCTTGCTGCCCTGCACAGTGGTCGCTGAGTGAAGGCCATAACTTGAAGACTACCTATAAACATTTCCTCAGAATATAGTGAAAGTACTTCCTGAAAAGGTCAACATTGTTTTAGCACCATCATCTTACATATGTAGTGCACCCTTGAATTCCACCACAATTGGGACTAGAATTTCTGTTGTAAGTTGCGATTGTAAGTAAAGTCAGACCTGCTTTTACAACAGTTTTTACAATGGTAATTGATTAATGGTGATTAAGCAAACCTACCCTTCCCAATGGGTGATTTTTGCTGGATATCAGGGGGAAAAAAGTAGCAAATTGTAATCACATGCTCACAGGATAATGCAACCAGTCACAAAGATAAGCTGGTTGCCAAGTATCTGAATTGCAATCACATGACCACTGAGGTGGTGTGATGGTCATAAATGGGAGTACAGATCATAGATCACTCCCCCTTCCAACGTTGGCAAAATTTTGAACCATTGTTGAAAGTCGTAAGTTGAGGATTAATTGTATTCAGAAGTTGAACTACAGTAGCAAAAGTCGTATGTTTGACCCCTATGGATGTCAGCTTTTTTTTCCAAGTTGGAAAACTCTTTGGTATCCATAAAACCTTTTATCCAAAAGTACTACTTGAGAATCACAGGAAAACCATATTTCTGGTTCACTGGTGATAACCATGTTGATGGGTAATCATCCAAGAATATTTGCATAAATATCCAACTCTGTAGTTCTGTTGTTTCCAGCATTCATTTCCATAATGATATGCAGAATGCTGTGTATCATTGTGTAATGTAAAAGTTATGGCTGATCAAATCAAAGCCTCTCCTAACTCAATACATTATTTTTTTCAGTTCCTTCTGTATCCAGAATATAAATACCTTTAATAGGATTTGTGAACCCCCTTGGGCTGGTTCAATGCAATTATCTGTAATACAGGTAAATGCACGTTTAACTGCTTCCTTCTTAAGCATCTGTTCATTTATGACAGTGATAAGCAATTTTATGACCAATCCTCATATTTATGACCTTCGCAAATTTGTAAAATAAAGCAGAGTTGCAGTTTCACTTAGCAAGCACTTCGCTTACTGACCATGTTGTCAGTCCCAGTTGTGGTTGCTAAATGAAAACTATCTTTATGTAGATAAAACTCCATTGACTTTTGCATTTTGTTCCAACTGAATGGTCTATATGTACTTTCCATTTTAAAACCATCACACTTATTCTGTAAAAAATAGTTGCCATAGTTAAGGAATATAGGTGGTCCTTGATGTACGGGAGATCATTGAATGATTGTTCAAAGTTCTAATGGCACTGAAAAAAGTGACTTATGACTATTTTTCACACTTATGACCTTTGTAGCATTCCCATGGTCATAGGATCAAAATTCAGATGCTTTTTAATTGGTTCATACTTACGATCTTTGCTGTGTCCTAAGTTCATGTGATCATTTTTTGCAACCTTTGGACAAACAAAACCAATGGGGAAATCAGATTCACTTAACAACCATATTACTAGCTTATCAACTGCAGTGATTCACTTAACAACTATGGCAAGAGATATTGTAAAATGGGGCAAAACTCACTTGATGAAAGACTCACTTAACATAAATGTTGGGCTCAATTGTGGTCATAAATTGAGCCCTACCTGTAGTTTTGTTCTTTCCCCGTTTCAGTCAGCATGCTATAGAATAGATAATCCTTGAGTTACATCCACTTGTTCAACAACCATTCAAAGTTCTAGTGGCATTGAAAAAAATGGAATTATGACCAGTCTTCAAAGTTCTGGCCATCACAGGGCACCCGAAGTCATGTGAACAAAATTTGAGCCATTTCACCTCTGCTGCCTTCCCTATTCCTTCAGCTGCCTTGACATGCAAAGAAGCCCTTAGCCAAGGAGCTGTTAGAAATCACCACTAGGCATCCTGGTTATGCCTGAAGGAGGACCCATAGAAATATCCCCACCTTGCTACTCAGTGGAAGGATAGGCCTGGCCGGTAGCGATGCTTGTCATAGAGGACTTCCAGCCTTGGTCACCTCCCTTCTTAGAAGGGCGCCAGTATCCAGCTGCCTGCCTGTCTATACTTCCTCTCACCTGCCTATTGCCCCTCCCTGCCTGTACTCCCTGGCTCTCTCCCTTCAGCTTCACTTGACTGGGACTCCCATCTTTTTCCGCATTGTGGTTACGTGAAGCCCTCACTTAATGATTTGAACAATTGTAAGGTTACAAGGGCATCCTGGATAGCAATGGAGTCTTGTGATATCACAATTGATGACTGCGTCATGTAGCAATGGAAATTTTGGTTCCAGTTGCCATCATAATGAGGTCACTACCTGTATTTTTGTTGTTGTTGTTAAACTGTTTCCTAAAAGCAATAAAGCTGATTTACAAACTGGCCAGTAAATTCAAAATGTTTCTATCATTAAGTCATGGCATCTTGAAATATTCAATGTGCAAGAAGAATCAATATGCAAGAACCTGGTACTAGATTTTGACCTTTTTGCATTGAATCACACAATTTTTGGTCATACATTAGCCCATATTCCCTAGTTGCAAAACTGATCTATTTTGCATTCTACCCAAAAATCTATTGTTTTCAATGGAATACGGAATGATTTAATTTGAAAATGTGTAAAACGTCTATGAAGTGAATAGTAACATATTATGAAGAAATTTTATCTACAAAAGTGAGACAGTACCTGTAACTATCTTTGTACATTATTTTTTTAAATCTTGAATTTATTATGACATAATAGATATCACAAGGCACCCATATGATTACCAACGCTTTCATATATATGAAGATATGTATAGTATTTGAAAGCCACAATAACTTCTGCAATAATAAAGTTATTCAATAAATTTGTTTTTTTCATTATTCAAGTAGAGTTTATACATCACAAAGTGATAATTCGTACCTATTACAGGTAAACTGATGTTTTATCTTTCCATTTGAAATTTTTTACAAAATTATGACTTTTTACAGAAAATGAAAAGTATTTGTAAAAATATCCAGTACTCAACAAAAATATGAATGTTTTCTTTTTTTAAAAGAAAATCACTAGAACAGCATTCTCTTTGATTTGTCAAGTAATTTCACCAGCTGAGTTCTTTAAGGCAAGCTGGTTTCGTAAAGGATTGGCATTTCCTCTAACTGGTTAAATACTGGAAACTGAAAAAGAATCTGTATATTTTTAAGTTTCAAAAGAACTGAAACATTTAAAGATTCAGAGGAGGTACTGAAACATGATTCCATAAGGACTTTCCAAGTGATTGTCTCTTCGCTGAGTTTTCATGACATCTTACGCTATTAAAAAAATGGGAAAACATATCATTAATGCTCTTGTATTACAGTATACATTTCTTTGATAGGATATTTTAATCTGTATTAATTAAACTTGTTACTGATGATTAACTGAATCCAAGCATGTAATTGTGTACCATCCTGCTCAGTATTTTACTCCATAAAGAGAACTATAGACTATAAAAATGGAAGGTATGTTTTCCTCATATGATTTGACCTGCACCATGGGAATTAACATATTTGGCATGTTTACTTTGCAAGGTAATGAGCAATTATTTCTATTTATTTTTATTTAATTATAAAATTATTTTGCAAAAGGATTCTCATCAAGGTTAAAGATATTGTTTACAAGTTCTCTAAAATGGAGCTGGGAAGGACTGGCCTTTAGCTAGGCTTGAACTAAGGGGTGGGCCTCATTCTGGTTCAATATATATTAACATATTTCTCTGTTATCACAGGATGAAGTTAGTTTACAATTACGTACCTGTTGCCTAAGAACAACCACATTCTCCATCTTCTTGGGAAACATTATGAACTGCAATGAGACTTTCACATTGCTCACTTTCTTCAGATGTTCTATAAGACGTTAACAGACTTGTGAGTCTTATTATTATTATGTTTATAAAAAACATAACTACAGCAATTACTGTATTGTACTGATGAATCTTATTTTACATGGCCAATAAGAAATTGTTAAGGACAAACAATACTGTACTTAAAATACTGTAGCAAATGTTGAGACTTCTGTTTATATTAGTTATTCAAGCAAATTCTTTTGAACAACTAAAATCAGAACTCTCCAGTATAATGTCAAGAAAAGATAGTAACACATCAAAACACTACTGAAAATAAATTATAAAAATAGGAGATTCAGTGTTCAAATATTTAGATCAAAGTAGAAGGAAAGCATACCAGTCAGACAGTTTTAAAACCAGATCCTGCAAAGTTCAGAAAGATCTCTACAAAATTCATTTTGAAATGATTTGTGATAAAAATTAAGACATAGTAAAGATATAGTTGAAAAGAAAGAAAGACGAAGTGGGTAGGAAAGAAGCAAATAAATCACCCTACCTCTGAATACGATGCTTTCGGCAGATAAATACAAAAACTCTTCTAATTCCCACCATTACTGGATCCCAATTGTTGTAGTGACATAAAAGTGTTGCAATGAAAAAGGAAAAAAATACAGGGATTGCCCCTGCAAAAAATAACCAAGAAAACTGGACCTGAAATTAAAAGATCAATTTGATATTTTATCAAGAGTAAAAGTAGGTTAATGGAAAGACAAATATCCCATAAGTTTGGATCAGGAAAGAGACATTTGGAGGGCAGTAAGGAGCTGTAGAAAAGGAAAAGGGGACATGAGAGGAATATTTAGCCAGAATCTTAAGTAAGTCATGGTTACAGTAATGTCTACCCAATCTGGACTCTTAAGCTCCATAATGACATCAACCTTGGCTATGGTTGATGCTTGTTAGTCAGATGCTTTCCACTCCTCATGCCCCGTTGTGTGTTCATGTTGAATTCACTAAATAATGGTTTCTCTCTGCTCTTTGCAATTTTATCAGAAAAGGTGAAAGAAAAGAGTGTAGAAGCATATGGCTCTCTGGGGTGTTTCTCTAATGATGAAATATAGTGTTCATTCAGACGAAATCAAATGCAGAAAAGGATGAGGCTACTTTCCATAAAGGGGGTCACACTTCTTTGATGGTTCTTCTAAATTAGTTACAAATTTCAAGTTCCTGAAGCAGCTATGCAGATCTTTAAAGTTAGAAATGTTTGATCTGTTTTGGTAACAGATGAACTTTATAGCTTGGATGGGGAAAGGAAAGTGGTAGAAGAGAATAAAGCTCACAAGATAAAATAATCTCATATCTGGGATGAAAAACATTTCAGGAATGGACACCAGATAAAGTGTGAATCCTTTAATTTAAGAGGCAGAACTGTGTGAGTAACATAGACATCAATCAAGGCTACAGCTGACAGTTAAAACTGACAGTTGCATTAAATGCTAATTTCACACTATCTGTGAAATATCTCACTTTAGAGTGAAAGTGTCACAGTGAGGGTGATTTTTACCAATGTTAGAAATAAATATGGAGAACAGATAATATTTTTACTGTTGCTGGTAAGACAATTAAACCTAACTGGGTGACTCTGGGCCAATCATTCATTCTCAGCCCAAACCACCTCACAGGGTTGTTTTGGAGGAAATAGGAGGAGGAAAGCGTTTTGGATATGTTCACTACCTTGAGTTATTTATATAAATAATAAAGAAAAAAGAAAAAAAGTTAATAAATGAATGGATGGCAGGTTCATATCAGCACACAATTGACTGCAGTTACCATTACATCCTGCCTTATTCTGATTCCTGAAGCAAAACACCCCAAGGGGAGATAATACCCTATTTAGGAAAGTATTTCATTTGGGGAATTTACAATGAACACCATGGACATCTATTTGAGGCTTTCTGAAAACAGTGGGTTTGTGTTGCAGTGCTTTTGTTACTTGCAAACAAACACCTGCATTTTATGAATGGAGAGCCAGTTTGGTGTAGTGGTTAATATGCCAGCCTGGAAAATGGGAGACTGTGAGTTCTAGGCCTCTTTTAAGCATGAAAACTGACTGGGTCACTTTGGGCTAGTCACTCACTCATAGCCCAGATCACTCTACGGGGCTGTTGTGGGGAAAACAGGAGGCAGGATTGTTAAATATGTTCACTGGCTCAAATTATATATAAAATGGTAGGATAAAATAAAAACAAGAACAGCAACAACAGCATTAAAATCCTATTATCTACAATTTAATACATTTATTTTTGTAACAGCATTAGAACTTTTTTCTTATTCATGAAGATTCCATTAGGAATTTTTAAGATTTTCTTAAATTTAAAATAATGAAAAGGTGAACTTGGTTTTTAGTTTTAAAAATTTGAATTTTAAAAATTTCTGTTGGAATTTTGTGTAATATTTACCATTGCCTTCAATACAATTTATATTACCTTTTGCATGCATATGTCAGCAATTATGGACAGAGGTATTGTAAGGCTCAGGGCAAGTGTTCCTATCAGTGATGAGGTAAGAAAGCAGCCCCTGGAAAAATGTTAAAATACAAAGATTTGAGTTAAAAAAAAATAGAGGTACAGAAACAAATTTCACAAGTGTAAACCAGAGTTTTGCAGAATTTGTAGGTACTTTGGCCTTGTTATATTGATTAAACTTGTTATATCGATTAAAGATACTTAGGAAACTCATAATTTTCTTCTTAATTTATTGATCAGATCTCTCTAGTCCTACCCTGTATTTCTGCTATACATCTTTATTTGTGTATCATGTATGCTAATTTGCCACACATATATCATATCAGAGCTTAGTGTAACCTGTCAAAGAAGTCAAAGGATAACTACCTCCTCTGCTAAGCCTCAAGATTTTCAGATGCAGTTAATGAAGTCTAATGTTATGCATCTAGAATAACTGATTCCAAAAAGTATACTTGCTATCTGTAACTGCTGCTAACAGGCACTGCCATGTTTCAACAGAGGTACTCCTCATTTAGCAACCATAATTGGGACCAGCAATTTAGTTATTAAGTAAAGTGGTTGCTAAGTGATACCACAACTGTGCTTATGACCTTATTTCAGCCTTCCTTTGATATACAGATCTGCAAGATTCATAAATGAGAGGACTGGCCACAAAGTTATTTTTTGAAAACTGCAAAATGGTTGCTAAATGATGCAGTTAAACAAGAACTATGTCTCTCTCTCTCTCTCTCTCTCTCTCTCATTTGGCTCTGAAAAATTTCTTCAGACTCAAAGTATTATGCCAAAGATATACTGCTCTTGTCTTTATAGTAATATATGAAGATTTTCACCATTTAGTGATTAAAGAAAAGACTAAGTCATCTATATGCACAGATAGCAACACTTACATAGCTTATCCTTCAAACGTGAATATCCATAACTTGATTTTAAGGAATCACTTCAAACTAATTAGAAAATGTTGGCAAGATATGTCTAGACATATCTAGACATAATGGTTCCGATTAAAAACCATGCAGATAGAACTTTGCTGTTTCAATTATAAAGTTCTCCTTCTCTTCTATTGTCATTCATTTATGGCCAGCAAATTCTTCTCCAAGCAAAGAATTGGCAATGAAGTTGCACCTGCTATTAAGCTGATGTAACTTTGCTTCATTTGTGATATCCCTATAGTCTTAGGTTTGCTGGAAAATGCACAAATTTCATAATTGCACACTAGCATTCTAGGATCAATCCTAAACAATCACTTGAAATTAGTATCTACTATGTCTGGACAAGCAGCCATATGTCATATCATGTCACATGTTGTGATGGCTACTAAAACCATTGCAATATACACTGAGTTAAGCAGTAGATTAATATAGTTTGATGTGTGAACTCAGCCTTAATGGCTTATTAACCAAATTATGGCCATAATTTGTAGGTCTAACTCTAAAGGCTTTTAAAAATATGATTTATTGTATGATATATGTAAAACCATGATATCTATTTTTTAAACCACATTCTATTTTTTAATATTTAATAAGCAACGGTAGTCGAGGGTGTGTGTGACAGCAGATACTTTTCAATGTATGTATGGTATTGTGTTGCAATCAATACCAGTAAAGACAGCAGTTTCCAAAACATACATTATGGAAAAACAATTTCATTTGGTCCTAAAATATATAGACTGTTTATTGTTCAGAAACCTAATAATCAAAACAACAAACATACCACAACCAGAGGAATTCAGACAGAACAGTTCCAACAAGGCCATTAATGACTATGCACATTAAGGTTAATTTATTGGGAAATTCAAAGACTTCAAATCCAGTATAATGAAGTAGAAAGAAGCCTGGCCAAAGCAACAGCAAATTAAACAAGCCAACAAAACCTGCAGGAACAGAATAAACAAACAGATCACATAACAAAGAGTTAGTCTTACATTGCAAAATATACTTTGCAAAACTTAAATTATCAAGTTAAAGATTCAGTCCTAAGCTGAAAAACGGTGTCTTAAAATTTGTTCTTACCAAAAAACATTGGAATATCGAGCTTATCTTCTCTGTCAACTTTTCGTTTTATCATAACTATATAGATTGCATACAGCACAGCTCCCATCAGAGACCAGAGAGACCCTGTAAATAAGAAAGCAAGGTATTGCCACTGGATTAATTAAATGTAATCTATTTGTTTAACAGGCTATTAAAGGTGTTGTTTTTATTCAAATAAATAATTTATGCAAAATTAAAAAACTGGTAGGATCCTGCAGCAAATTATTTCACTTTTTTTAAAAAAAAACCTTGATTCCCTCAAAATAAATACATTTCTATAATACATTTATTTATTTAGAGGCATTTTTGCTTCTTACTCATCATAATGGCAATCAAATATCACTACGGATTCAACTATTAAAATGGAGTTTCTTTATGTATTTTTGTCATTTTTTAAAAAAATAAATAAAGCAATATTCTTCAATCACTTCAATTTATTGTGAGGAATTAAAAAAAAAATACCTATTGTATCTCTTCCTGAAGATTTCTCAGATCCAGACAAATTCACCATAACAACACCTCCAATGCTATTTTAGAAATAAAGCATTATATTCCAGTTAATTTAGTCAAATAGTTTGTATGTTAAGAGTTAACAATAAAGAGTGTTTACAATTGCTTTAATACCACATATTGTTGTAGTTCAATGGTCCTCAAAATTATATATAATTTATAGGGACTAAATAATAGTAAATTTTCTTAAAATTACAGGAAAAAAGGGAATTTTAAAGGAAAAGAACATTTCTTTGCAAGTATAGAAGGAAATTGGAGAACTAGAAAGGAAGATTATACATTAGCAGAAGCCATTCCCAAGCGCATCACGTCAAGACAAGAAGAAGAAAAATGGGAGGTTTGAGGTGAATATTTCCCTATAAATAACAAACTAGGCTTGGGAATAGTCACTTCTCAGGGGGTGAGTTCATATATCATGTGAAACTAATTATGGCTTATTTGAATAGACCATTAATCCAAATACCATCAGTGACAAACCATGGTTTACAAACCAAAACAACTATAAATTTAAGAGTTGAAGCCGGAGCTTGGTTGCTTTGGTTCTGTTTCCATGTACCACAGAAGTACAGTATATTAGGACAGGGTTTTTTTTCCTGCTTTTGGAAGAAAATAAAGTAGAAAATAGAAACCTTACAGAAGCAAAATGGGTGCACCTCATTAGCACGGCTATCACTTTTTTCCAAAGCTGCTCTGTAAGAGAGGTCAAGCACACACGAAGCAAGCTGTACAAACACAAAGTCCACAGTCCCAACTGGGACCTGCTTTGCAAATCAATGCGGTCTTTTCCCTTCTAAAAGCCAAGTTTAAAAAAACCTACCATATTGCTTCCCTCTGCTCTGCTTTATAGATTTGCCTCACTGCAGTATTTGCAGAGGGGACTCCCCCAGCTTTGACCAGCCTTTGCAAAGCTGGAAGAGTCAGACTGCAAAAAGGAAAACAAAGGGCCTCACTCTAGCAAACTGCAGTCATTTTGCTTCCATGAAGAGAATCACATCACCGGCGTGGCAGGAAGCTCTTCATGGAACTTTGCCCAGCCTAATCTAGAATAAAGTATAACATATCTTTTCCCCTCACCACTTCTGATAGGTGCCCATCAGGAGGTTTAGTGCAAATATGGGTGAAAGAGAGTAAGGTGGAACCTTCATGGTTGCGAAGTTTCCAATTCCTGCATGGTTTCAATTCCTTTGATTTGCTAGAGATTACGGTCTGCAATAAATGAATGCCTGGGATGATTTGTTGGAGGGGATAACATTGAACTATGTGAATGTGTATGCAGCACAAACAAGCCTAGGATTATGCATTCTGCTCTTCTACATTCCTCTTCTGGTGAGATCACATCACTTGGGCTCCCTGGTTCTGGATTCATACCTCATTTTAAATCAATCCAATGATTTAACACAGTTTAATTGTGCAGAGTAAATTGATGTCTTACAGATAGCTGACTTACAACCACAATTGAGCCCAAAATTTCCATTGCTGAGCAAAGCAGTTGTCAAGTGAGCTTTGCCCCGTGGTCATGTGATCGCCATTTGTAACCTTCAAAGCCAGCATCTGACAATCAAAATCAATGGGGAAGTCATGGTCATGTGACATCACTCTTAACAACTGTGGGTAATTTGCTTAACAGCCAAGCTGGAACTCATATAAATTGGCATGGTCATGTGATCTTTCACTTTACATCCCCACCACTTAGCAACGGAGTTGCCAGTCTCAATTGCGGTCAGTAAGTAAAGATTACTTATATTTGGTTTTAATTTATGTATTGTATGAATCCATCCACCACAGTTTATTCCATAAAACATGGTTAGTAAATGTTAAACCAAAGTTTAAGATCACACGTATACTTAATTTTCAGTGATGCCACAGAATTATCTGATTTAAGAAGGTTCACTTGATGATATTAAACCAACAAGACTCAAGAGAGCTCATAACGCAGCTGAGAAATGGCCACTTTAGTAGGGCAGTAGCAATACAGAAGCAGTACTTCTAGCACACATTCTGTAGATTACTTTGAATATATTTTCATGTAGCTGTATACAACTAGCTGTATCTAAAAATAGTAATAAAATCTCCATTATTAAATCCAACTATCTAGAAGAACATAAGAAAACTCAAGCCGGTTGGGGAGAAGAAAATGGAAGATTAAGGAGTCTATATTCCTACCTTAAAATGACAGCTAACAATTTTGAGAGGGTAAATCTATCTCCACTATTACTTGGAAACACTGCAGCAAGGATTAAGGTAAATAATCCTGTGAAAAGAACAAAAGAATATTCTATGCATGATCAAATAAAAAAAATGTAAGACTGAAAACATAATAATCAAAAGATAATGGTTTTAATTAATTTCAGGCCTAAATGAAATTAAAATCTAAAATCAAAAAACATTTTATTGGATTTCTTAGACTTTAAAAACATTGTATACAATTTTATTGATTTAAAAAAACTGCATTTCTTTAAGTAAAGTTAAAATATTATCAGAATCCCTTTTTAAAAATGGAATGTCTCGGATTCATATATATATATATTTGCAAAAAGAAATTAAATGAGGTTAATTTTTATTTAACAAAGCTTTCACTGTTTTTATTTATTTATTCATCACATTTACAAATGAATGATGCTGACTTTCGGAAAACTATGAACACTACACTCCTTTACACTACTTTTTGGAGACTGAGTGATACCCAGAACTGAATTTGATTTGTTAATTTACTAACTGTGTTAATTCGTTTGACTTTATTTTGATCTGCTGTTATTGTACTGCTTTGGCTTTATTTTGTTGCATACTACCAGGAGGTGATTACAGTTTAGCAGCATATACATCTGATGCTTTGGTAAGATGGATGGCCAATACATTTGATAAACAAACACATAAAATACTAATATGTTCAAATGTATGCAAAAATAAATGTTTTCTTACTACAGCTGTTTGCTTTTCTTGTATCCCCACACTTATTCAGCAAAAGCAAATACTGCAGAAATTGTAACAGTCACACACATGCTAGTTTACTATTACTGCTATCACAATATGGGAATCAATGCTAAGTGACAATCAGCGTAACTTTTAAACAATCCCATTGATGAGGCTGCTGAATAAACCTCTATGGGTCTGCTTGTTGAACCTGAACTCTTAATGATGGCATGTAATACCTCACACTATAGTTTCCTTTTTTTCAAAAAAAGAAACCCTTCAACAACGCTGTCTTCCTCATTAGGAGTGATACAAAATAGATAACTATATTTTTCTTAAATATGAGGCCATTTGAGTGAAGTAGGACAAGTGTTTTAGAATATATCTTCATTTCTTACCAGAGGTTGATGACAGAATGTTAACTATTGCCACTTGAGTGTCTGAAAGTGCTTCTTGATAAGAGAAATTTGCCAAGAACCACTAGAACATGAAACAGTAGATGTTAGCATAACATTCAATTTCTTGTTTGAATAACTGCTTTGAAAGTCGGAAAAAAAGCCTTGCAAAACATTAAAAAAGATTGTTTAAACGATCTATATTTAGAGCATAGCAAGAGCATACACACAATAACATTGGCCTGTATCAAGAAAAAAAGGAGAAGCTGAACTTATTGTAAATTACTCTTCTGATCCCAGAATGAAACCCCACAGAAAGGTTAACCCTATCTATTCTGAAAGGAGTTCTTCCTGTTCCAGAAGAAAACCCTCCTTCAGTCACTTTAGACCTCTGGCTTCAACAAAAAAAAAACTTAAAAAAAAAACTAGATAATTCCTGCATTGGCACAAGTGTTTGTAACTGACAAGAGGAATGTAGAAATGTAGAAAAGGGCAATATCCATCAGTTATCACATCCTGATAGTAAGCGGTACACAGAGGAATCTGACTTCCGGCTGTTTGTACTGATTCCTGTCCCTGATTGCAGGGTGGGAAGTCTGAATCTTTTAGGGTTCCAAAGAGTAATTTGCTGTTAAGCTCCACAACACTTTCGGTCACCAAAAATGGAGTGGAGAGCAAAAGGATCTACTGCAGCAGTATTCATAGGGAGGGAGAGTAAAAATTAAAGCACTTTCTGTAGAACCATGTGACCAAAAGTAGCATCTGCTGAGGCAAACTGGTCTATCTGGTAATGTCTAATGAATGTAAACAATTTCATGCATGTAGTTTCCTTACAAATGTCTATTAGCAGGAGTACTTCGATGGTATAGTTGCAACGTTAGAAGGAAGCTGTTTCTTGCTGGCAGAATATTTCAACATAACGCATTCAACTAACCCCTTCAGTTGACACTGAATTGTGTAATTCTCACATTATCTGTTTTGTGAGAAAGGAAAAGATTACTGGCCTCCAAAACTCCAAGGGAACATTTGAAATATATTATTAACACTCTTAACTGATAAAGTGTCATCAAGTTGGTGTCAATTTATAGTGACTACACTGGTGAGTTTCTCCAAGAATTGTTCTCAGCCTTTTGGGACTCTCAATGGCGCACTCAATACTGTCATAATCAAGTCCATCCGCTTTGCTGCTGTCATCTTTTTCTTCTTCTTTTTCCTTCCAATTTCCTCAGCATTATAGATTTATTAAAGGAAACAATGACAATTCCCATCAATATCCCAATAGAGGATATCCCAATAGAGGATAGGCTTGCATCTTTGAAGAAGTGAGGTATTTGAATGTGGCAAGATAGAGATGCATTTGCTGAACAGAACACGAGGCAAATGCTTGTCTACACAATATGGTTGTACCCTTCTGCTAGGAACTCCAGAATCTCCTCATTCAAAAGTGCACCAAATCACTTGGTAGATGTAGATGGAGCCTGGGCATCTGATTATTAAGATGGACTCCACTGCCAAACCTGAAAAGCTGGAGCTCAGATCTTCCCACCCAATTTCTAGGTATAAATCCAGATAATGAATTGGGACTTGACATCTATTTGGTGTCCTTTGTATTTCTAGGAAAAGAACTGGCATCCATATACGCAGTCCTTCGCTTTGTTTTAAGATTTTGTATTTTCTCTGTTCTGTAGGATCCATGAGTGCTTCATTTTCCTCTTCTTGGGAAAAGAATAATAGAAAAAATTTGATGACCTTATGGAAGGTTGCCAGGTCTCTCTTTCTTCCAGCTTCTCCGAAGAGATGTCTTGAGCATATTTAGTATTGTGTAAAATCCAACCATGAAAATTAGCCATGGGACTGTTGGTGTTGGCCACTTCTACGTGAATATATTGGACCCAACATAAATCTGTTTTCAGGGTCCTAAGCATTACTGACCCTGAAAACTGGTTTGTTTCTCCTTAGATCCATCAGGGTTCATTTCCTATTCCTTTGATATATTCTCTAAAGATTCTCGATTCTTTTATCACTATCCTACCAATGTTACAACTCATGTGTTTTTACTGTTGCTGCCAGCTTTTTGGGGGGGGGGGGGGTTAATGAGGCTTCTAGCTGCCATGGAGGTCACTGCTGCTGGCACTTAGTCCAGGTCCAGCTACCAAAAGATCACTTCTGTAAGCATCTCTTGGTGACATCTTAAATCACTGCTATTGAAGCTGCTCAAATCTTTGTTTGATGGGAGGATGGAAAGGGTCACTCCAACTGGTGTTATCTGGTTCTTCAGGCTCTGCTTACTTCTGTTCCTCTTTGCTCACAATGATGCAGGAGTTGGAGAGGGATTGTCTGTTCCTTGGAGAACCCTTTGCGTCTTTCATTTTTCTAAGTATTTAAGGTCTTCCTGTTGTTTGCCTTAAGGAACATGGGAATACCTTTTATATCACCCCAGAGCTCTGTATTTTTCCTGGATGCCATCACTTCTGGTATGCTTCCTGCATCTAGCTAGCAGGCTCGTTAGATACCGGCATGATTATACTGCCATGCACTCAGTCGCAGCAGTCCCTACCACCTCTTATAGCAGCTTCAAAGAATTTATTCCTTTCTTCCTCCTCCCTCCCTCTGCCACAGATTCCTCCTCCCTCCCTCTGCCTTTTCTAGACATTTGCCAGAAAAATGGATGAGGAATAATAGAAAATGGAAAAGGCTCTTTTATGTTTTTTTTAACTAGAAGAGGTAGAACAAAGCCCCTTTTTTATCAACTTCCTCTTCAATGACTTAGAAGGAAAGAATTAGGCAATTATAACACAAACAGAAATATCTGGCTGAGCTTCCCTGCCAGGAGTGTATCTATTGACACCAGTCTTGGAACCTCTAGTCTCTGTTCCCTTTTGTAACTTGCTTTCAAATACATTAAAAAAAATATAGGAAACTACTACATGATGAGAAAAACTCCGGCCTCCCTTATCATATCCTTTTTGCACGTTTGCTTATTAGCCCTAAAAGGTCCTGAGAAAATAGTCATCCTTTGAAATAAAAATAAGGAGCTTCAGACCATTGCTTTATTTGTTAGTAGGCTCACCTGCTTCGAAAAAAATGACAAAGGGAAGGAGAAGTCTCAATAAAAGAGAATATACGTAGCCCAGAAGTAATCCTGAGCTGAGGATTCCTTGGTCCTGAGTTGGGTTGGTTGCTTGCAGATGTTTCATTAACCAGCTAGGTAACATCATCAATACTAGTAAGTGTGGATTTGCTCCCTGTGTGTGTGTGTGTGTGTGCTCTTTATATACAGTGACTAAAGTCCCCCCCAAACATCTTATATAAACCAAAAGACCCAGTGGCTCAAGAAGTTAAAACCAGGACTCATCTACAACATACATTAACAGTTACTATGTAGGATAGTCAGGCAGAAAATTATCGGAACACATTGATGAACACCAACTAGCAGCCAGAAGATAAGATGAAAACTTCTTAATCTCACAAGCCAGATTCAACTGTAGATTCAACTATAGGTGGAAACTGTGAGCATCCTAGACCAAGATAAATCCAAAAATATTGTAGAACTTCTGAAAACTTGGTATCAAAGAAGTCAACCGACAATAGATACATAGAGATAAACCATGTTTACATATCATTCAAGAGAGAATAAAAAAGATAGGAAGGAACCTCTCCAGCAACCAAGGAGAGATTAAATCAGACAAACAGTCATGAAGAAAACAATATCCTAGTCAAGGAAATATCAAGAAGAAAACAACACCCCCACAAACACTGACAGGGCAAGCTACTGTTTATTAATAGGGAGCAAATCCCATACTCACTAGCATTGATAATATCACTAGTTTGCAAGCAAACAACCGATCTCAGAGAACATAAATACCTAGGAGACACAGCAGCTAGAAGGGGGTGGCTGGTAGCTTTATGCTACATCGCTGTGTTATTTTTTTCCCCATATGTGACTAGGGAAACTTCCTCCTGCTTCCAGATAGTTTATGAAAATATTAACAATATGTATACATAAGGAGGCAAATGCCTGCTGTGTTGTGGTTTGCCAGCAGCCGGTGCAGATGGCAGTGGAATCGGACAGTGGAGAAGAACGGGGACCATTCGGGAAGTCTGGAGAGGACTTGGACTAGGGTCCTGTGTCCAATGCAGAGATGGGGCCAGGACCATCTGGGAATGGGGTGCTGCCTTCAGAGCTTTCGGAGTCTGGCAGGAGTGAGGCAAAGGACCCAGGGGAGCCTGTTCCCAGTGTGCGTGTGCACACAGCTGCTAGAAGGCGAGAGCAGCTGAAACAAAAAGGGTGATTTGGGAATAAGGTTGGGAGGTGATTGCCCCTCCCATAAGGGATAAAAGTCAGGCAAAGATGGCAAAACCTTTGCAGGAAGCAAAGTAGTTCAATCGGTTCCAAGTCATCCTAGAAGCTCTTTGTACTTTGGTTGGTTTTTCCTGTACTTCGGTTGGTTTCTTTTCTAGTTAATTTGATACTTCTGTTTTGGCAGCACTTTACAGAACTGAAACGTGTGTGCTTATCTTGGGGGACTGTTTGAGCTTAATTCCGGCTGGGAATGAAAACAATTCCCAGCATTGCAATAAAATAGGTTTTAAAACAAGTTTGTGAATAATTACTATTTGTGAAGCTTGGGTCAGAACATGCTGCAAAATAATAGTAATTGTAAATATATATCTAGATTAGACAGCTATTTAGCTATTTTCCTGTGAAATGCCCTGAATCATAGCAATAACTGGAACATGAAAATGCCAACTTTCAAATCAGAGAAAATTAATTATATATTCAAACAACTGTTCAGTTAAAGTCCAATTAATGTAGTTCAAACCTTTATAACAAATAAAACAAGTTAATCATGGCTAATTTAACAGAAATTAACTTTTTCCTGGATTAAAGGCACTAAAAGAAGAAATATAACTGTTGGAAAACTTAATTTCTCTGGAAAAAAACGCGTGTTTCTTTTTCCAAACTGATGAACAAATTTTCTGACATCTAAGTGAATTTACAAAAAACTTAAACTTGCAGATATATATCTCAATGCTACAATATAACTATATGTATTTTGCGATGCTGAAATTAATGGAATGTACGAACATAGCAATACCAAATAATTCTAAGATCTAGAAATGCACTACTACCTGACTCAAAAAGCCATGTGAGTATCAATGAATCTAGACCAGTTCTGGAAAATTAATCATGGAATTTTGTCACTTTTATACTAGTGGAGGCAAGGAAAATATATCTCCAAGTTTTGATGTCTGATGGATGATAGGAAACTTGAAGCAACAGAATAACAAGTAAATAACAAACAACAAATTAGTTATTTTTTTGTTTGGGGGAATTACTGCAAGAGGCATGAAAACATAAAATATAGACATCTTTTCTCACAACGAATAGAAGCTTTTGCTCATTAAAACTGTCAGTTCCATTACATTGGAACTTTAAATCAATTAGGGGATAAGCCAAAATTATGCAGTTCCCTAAATGATATGAACAAGGTTAAACAGTTGACACTCCAAATGATTTGTCTTCTATTAAAGCAATATACCAAAGTTAAAAAAACTCAGTTTATACCCTGCAACAATTAAAAACAGATGACGTACCACAAAGCAAAAGAAAAAGCTGATTTTGGCTACTTGAGGTGCAGTAAGCTTCCCTACAGCTTTTAATATTGAATCCTGCTCTTTAACTGTTGGGTAAGACATACGAGACAGCTTTGCTTCCAGTGCATGACTTGCTGGGAGTTGTCGAATCTCCATAATGTTACTGAATCTTACACGAGGTTTTTTGGGAGCTTTAGGTGGGGAAAAAAAATGGTGCAGGTCAATTTGTGTATTAGACTGGAACAGAAAAACAATCAGCAAGATAAGGTTCCTCCCCATGTTTGAACAGTTTCTATCAGCTGCATGAATTAGCTAGTATACAGGAAAGATAAACCGAGATTGCAGATTTTACTCTAAGAGGTTTTGATTTGTACTGATTGCATTTATTTAAGGAAAAAGCCAGATTTCCTTAATTTTTAGAGTAACTGATTTGCTTTCCAACGAAAATGTATTTTTCATGAATTTGATCTTTAAAACGTGATTCGTGCATTTTACATTTTACCTTTGATTTTAAGTATGGCATGACTTTTACCAACTTGTGGTTAATTCAACCAAAGGCCTACATAACTAAGTGTACCAAATTGAAAAATGCTGTTTCTAGTTCTAGATTCTTATTTTCTAAAGAAATAGGAGCAAGACAATAAAGCATCTTTTAGCTTCATGTATATATTCAAATTTAATTCCTCTAAGACAGATAAATACAAATAAACACCCAAGGTGTCTAATCCATGTTGCAAATGTGCTGTTATTTAACAGTGCTGATGTGTTATGAATGTTTGCATAAACAAAGTATTATTTTGTCAAGCATTTCAAAATAAATACAAATTGAATTGTACTACATAAATATGTATTGTGAATGGCTAGCATTGTAAGATACACTACGTTACGGTATTCTTACTGCAAAGTAATTTTATGCAAAATATCCTCAATTCAATTAATTTCAAATTAGAAATGTTCCATTTGAAATCAAAAGTTATCTTGCATTTGAAAGCATTTTTGCAAGAGGCACCGCAGATCGTTCTAGAAATGTTTCAACCTCAGATTGTTTCGTATCCAAAATAGTCTGTCAATGCAAACATTTAAAAAATGGTGAAAATAGCTCATTTGAATTTTAACCTTTATTTCAATTCAATATGGTTTGATTTTAAATCTTTAACATACTCTAGTCCTAAACAACTTCTGAATTACTGTTTCTTCTTACGATTTCACTAACATTTCACTGAAACTTGAGAAGTTCAATTTAGGAACTATTTTGAATAGTTCCTATTTCATGAATTGGACTATCAATCACAATTTCATTGTCTGCCTTGTGCAAAAACTAATGTGATTAATCATTTGATTAACCCTCCTATTTTTTGAATAAAGCCATCAGTATATTTTTGAATTTATAAAAGATTTTTTTCAGTTTACATTATATATACACACACACATACACACACACACATACCCACACACACATATATATATGTATGTATGTTTTCTTAAGTTTTCGCGGGTACTTACATGTATGGTATTCAGTTTTGTTCGGGTATTTTCCCACGTCATTGTAGTTGTGCTTTTAAAGTTGTAGCAACGTTTTGGCAGAATCTCATCTGCCATCATCAAGCTTCTGTATTCTATATAATCAATACAGAAGCCTGATGATGGCAGATGAGATTCTGCCGAAACGTTGCTACAACTTTAAAAGCACAACTACAATGACGTGGGAAAATACCCCCAAAAAACTGAATACCGTATATGTATGTATGTATATATAGTAATAAAATACACACACACACATACACATACATACTAAATATTTAACTAAAAGACAAAAGCAATTAACTACGGATTTTCATACTTCTAATGTTACATGAGCATACAGTGGGTGATATAAAATATGTTTTTAAAATTCTGATATATGTACTTACTTTTTTCAGCATCATTGTTAATGCTGCTACTTTTTTCACTTGGCAAATCATGAAACTTTACAGGAACGTACAAAGGTTCACTCTGAAATGCAAGATAACCAATTCCCAGTCATGTAACAGAGTTATCAAAACAAAATCAAGAGCTTTGGGCAATGTGACGAACAAAAAGGTACTCAACACTCTACAGAACTAAATAGAATTAAAATCCCACTGTTTAGATCAGCTGTTTATTTGACATACCCAACCTTCTCATTTCTACAGGAGGCCCTTAGGTGATCTTCCTCCAAGTAGAAAATATAGCCTCATATTCTTCATGTAAATTGAACAACTTCCCAGCATGCACAGATCCATTTTATGACTGAGCAAACTGACTATTTAATTCTGATATGAATTTATCTTTTTAGAAATAAAAGAAATTTATTTTGGTACAATAACATCAAATTGGTCCTTAATTATAAAGACACCTATATTCACATGTGCATAGGCCACTTAACAGACAAAGTGGCCCTCAGATTCCAATTGATTTTGCATCCCTGCAAACATAGTCCCTTTCTGGATTTTCAGGCATAGAATGTGATAATTAGAATTTGAAAATTCCGATAACCACAACCCCAGCCTTTGTCTCCAAGAGAACAGTGAAAGTGATCCACTCCTGCAGAAAGCTACACATGCTTTATATCTTTGCATTCATTCTGATAATACTGGCACAAGGTTTCTGTAATTCCTCAAGTCTTTGTCTTTCCATCATCAACACCTAAAGCCAGAGATTCCAACATATCAGCTTTTCTTCTGTGATAGTCAGATGGTTGCATCCTTCCAAAATCCACTTCTTTTGCCATGGCTTTTAGTGACTGTTGCTTGTACCCTCCAGAACCATCTAAACCATATTGTCTCTGCAACTTTTGGAAATCATCCTTTTCTTGTCTTCCAGTTTCTGTTCTTCTTTGCCTATCCTCTTCAATTTGAAGATGCTGTGCCAATTCTAGATCATTCAAGTTTCTTCCTTCTAAAATGCTGCATTCATCCAGGTGCAGTTCGACATGTTCTTGCAGAACTGGGTAATCGGTACAACTAAGATGGCATATAGGACATTCATATAGAGGCAGACTACTTTCAGGAAGGGGAGACGGAGCACCGGCAGGCGGGCTTCCCGGCCGACCTCTGCTGGACCCGTCCATTCTTCCACTCCCGTCTATTCTCCCGCTCCCGTCCATTCTCCCCCTTCCGTCCATTCTCCCGCTCCCATCCATTCTCCCGCTCCTACAAAGACTGCTTGAAAGATACTTCATCAGTTCCTTGTATTCCAAAAATACAAACACAAATTGAAGATGCCTGGAAAGAAGGCTTTGATCCCCAAGGAGCTTCTCATTTCAGCAGCAAATTACAAGGAACTAAAGCATGGATAGGAGCATGTGAAATTTATTTGCTCTTAACCTTTCTCAGGCTAAAGTGTCAAATTATTGACTTTCATCAGCCTACTGGCTCTTCTGGTACACACCCTCGTTTGTTTGAATGGGTATTAAACTATTATTCTTCAGGTAAAGATAGCAATGGAAAGGTTATGAGTACTTCCAAGCCACCAATTTATTTGCAGCACCAAGGTCATAGTCATACTATTGTTGGCATTCAGGAAAGAAAAAACAAAAGTTTGTGTCAACTAATATTTGATCCCAGCTGCCATTCAGAAGAAATGCAAAAACTCTTAAAAGGCATTGATGGGAACAGTCTAAAATTATTTCAAAGACTCCCAGGAGGCTTAAACCATAAGCAATATCAAATAGTGTCTGTGGAAGGTGTGCTGACAGAAGAGGGAAAAGTTGCTCGTAGGCAGGCTTCTCAATTCTTCACAGCACAGAAAATTCCTTGAAATAAGAATATCTGAAAAATGAAGGCAATTGAAGGCTGCAAAGGAGATCTGTTCATATAGGTTGCTGAGTGATGTACATAGCAATTTTTAAAAATTTCAAAATAAATATTGAAATACTTAAAAAAAAAGAATGTGATAATTAGCGTGGATTTCAGTGTAAGACAATCCTAAAACAAACTATCAAAAAAGAAAAGAAAACCCTCCCTATTGAATTAATTTTCCCTTTGATGGTGTTGGTTGAGAGAGGTACAGCTAACTATAAAAAAACCTTCTATTTTGCGTTATAAGATGGTATTCCATCCCATCACATTTTTTCTGCCATTCAGTGAAGGTCCCTGTAGTCTTCCCAACAAGGTTTTTCGGAAGTCATTTGCCATTGCCTCTTTCCTAGAGCTCAGATGAAGTGACTGGCCCAAGAGCACCCTGCGACCTTTGTGCTGCGGGTGAACTAGAACTCACAAAGTCCCGGTTTCTAGCCTGATGTCTTAATCACTACACAATAACTAAAATAGCTTTATGCAAACAAATGACTGAAGAAATCTTAAACTGTAAGATTTATTTCCCAAAGTCAACTATAAAATACCTTTGAAAATCAGAAATATCTGATACTATGGTTCTTTTTACCATATTTAATCAGCTTTTGTTTAAAGCTACAAAATATCTTTTTCAGATTTATTTTTATTTTACTATTAATTTGAAAAAAAGAAAAAAAAAGAATAAATATTGCCATGCAGCAATACAATGCTTAAATGAGAAAACTTACCAAAGAACTATTCACAGTATTGTCAGTTGTACAAGTGGCAAAATAACTTTCAGCATCTGCAAACTAAGCAGAAATTTGACACCTCAGATTCTATTAATATATATCTAGTACTTTGATTTTAAAAAGTACATTTAAGTCAGAGAATATTATTATCAACAATATTCAGTCAATATCTTTGACTGCGATACAGATTGAGGAAAAATGGCCCACTGACAGCCACATTCCAATTCTTCCTCCTTCTTGCTCTTGAACTGGTATCAGTTTCAAAGCCAAAACTTGCCATTGCTTAAAACTATTCCCAGAGAAGAATAAGAGTCGATAAACAGTGTCACTGCAATAAAACCAAATGTGATCAGGGGCATATGGCAAGTCGATTATAAAAGAAATCAGTATTTTGATGTCTTTTCCAATTATCCATCTGTTAGCAGTAAACTGAACACTAGTCTAGAAGCGAGCCAAAAATAAACAAACAAAAATCAGACTGTGATATATTGCTCAAAATACATTTTATTAAATCGTTTAATATTTTTTTCTTCCATAGTAAGAAATCAACTAAATGGTTTTCAAGCATCAGCATTTATGCTAACCCTGAATTCCCCAAATCACCAGATTCCCAGCTTTACAACTTCCATCAGCAATAATCACTGTCTATGCCATTTGGGAATTATGATCATTGTTGTCCATTCTTCAGCTAGAAACTTAAGTTAAAATGCTAAGCTACTTGCAAATGATATTACTTTCCGTAATATCATTTGCAAGCAATCACAGATCTCAAAAGGAGTATTTGGGAACTATAACCAAGAGCTGAGGAGTCATTCTTGTTGTTGTTAGTTGTGAAGTCGTATCCAACCCTTCGTGACCCCATGGACAACTTTCCTCCAAGCCTTCCTGTCCCCTACTATCCCATGGAGTCCATTTAAGCTCACACAGCCACTTCATTCTCTACCATCCCATTCTTCTTTTGCCCTCAATCTTTCCCAGCATTAAGCTCTTCTTCAGTGAGTCTTTGATTGACTATATGCACTTTGTTGGCAGGGTGATGTCTCTGCTTTTTAGTATGCTGTCTAAGTTTGCCATGGCTTTCCTCCCCAGGAACAAGCATCTTTTAATTTCTTGGCTGTAGTCCCCATCTGCAGTGATCTTGGAGCCCAGGACAATAAAATCTGTCACTTCCTCCATTTCTTCCCTATCTATTTGCCAGGAATTGAGAAGGTCAGACGCCATGATCTTAGTTTTCTTAATGTTGAATTTCAAGACAACTTTTACACTCTCCTCCTTCATCCGCATCAAGAGGCTCTTTAGTTCCTCTTCACTTTCTGCCATTAGTGTGGTATCATCTGCATATCTGAGGTTGTTGATATTTCTCCCAGCAATCTTAATTCCAATTTGTGATTCATCTAACTCTGCCTTTCTCATGATGTGCTTTGCATATAAGTTAAATAGGCAGGGCAACAGCATACAAATTCCTTTCTCAATTTTGAACCAATCAGTGGTTCCATGTCCAGTTCTTACTGTTGCTTCTTGTCCCATATATAGGTTTCTCAAGAGACAAATAAGATTATCTGGTACTCCCATCTCTTTAAGAACTTGCCACAATTTGTTGTGATCCACACAATCAAAGGCTTTAGCATAGTCAGTGAAGCAGATGTTTTTCTGGAACTCCCTAGCTTTCTCCATGATCCAGCGTATGTTGGCAATTTGATCTCTAGTTCCTCTGCCTCTTCAAATCCTGCTTGTACTTCTGGTAGTTCTCAGCCCACATACTGCTGGAGCCTAGATTGTAGGATTTTGAGCATAACTTTGCTAGCATGTGAAATGAGTGCAATGGTGTGATAGTTTGAACATTCTTGGCATTGCCCTTCTTTGGAATTGGAATGTAAAATGATCTTTTCCAATCCTGTGGCCAATGTTGAGTTTTCCAAATTTGATCACAAATTGAGTGTAGCACTTTCCTGCATCGTCTTTTAAGATTTTGAATAGCTCAGCTGGAATACTGTCACCTCCACTAGCTTTGCTGTTGCTCAGACTTCCTAAGGATATCTGGCTCAAGGTCACTGACCACCCCATCGTGGTTATAAGGTATCTTAAGCTTGTTCTTGTATAGTTCTTCTGTGTAATTTTGCCACCTCTTTTTAATCTCTTCTGCCTCCATTAAGTCCCTGCCATTTTGGTCCTTTATCATGCCCATCTTTGCATGAAATGTTCCCTTCATATCTCCAATTTTCTTGCAGAGATCTCTGGTCCTCCTTATTCCATTGTTTTCATTTATTTGTTTCCACTGTTCATTTAGGAAGGCATTCTCATCTCTTCTAGCTATTCTCTGGAATTCTGCATTCAATTGGGTGTATCCTTCTCTTTCTCCCTTGCCTTTTGCTTCCCTTCTTTCCTCAGCTAAGAGTCATTCTTAAATTACTGTTAAGCCATTATTTAGGTTGTGCAACGCTTTAGGGAATCTACACTTTTTCCTCAGGATCATGCAGCCTCTGCAAAGGGCACTTTTGTGATCTCAGCAAAAGCCGGCTGCTTTATAGAGATAGAGGCAGAGGCCCATGCATGCCCTAAAGTACCACTAAGAACCCATTTTGTATAGCTTCCTGCTTATCTCCAGCTATTTGGCTGTCAGGACACTTCATGGCAAATGATAATCTGAATAAAATACTCATTTATTTAAGATTCAAAATAGAGAAACTAAAGAGGAAGTGAAATTGGCATAAAATTCTATATAATACATGGAAATCTACCTAGTCTTCTAATTCAGTTCATGAGCTAATAGTCAATCCACCAGCCTAGAAGCCCGGAGATGGTGAGTTCTAGTCCCATTTCAGGCATGAAACCCAGCTGGATGACTGGGTCAGTCACTCTCTCTCTCAACCCATCCGTTACAGTTGTTATTGTCGGGAAAATAGGAGGAAGGAAGAGCAGTGTGTGTGTTCACCACCGTAATAAAGGTGAAATATAAGCAGATAGATGATTCTAGTTATAGAGCTATTCATTTTCATGTATAAACAAGGTTTGTCAAGAATCTAATGTATTTTCTAGCTGTGAGAGTTCAGAAACAGGAAAACAACTGAATGAATTAGTCAGCTCTCATTTTCTCATGGAATATTGTGAGTAGCTCAATGACTGAGTTCACTACATTTTATCAGTAGGAAAACTAGACTTCTTAATAAAGAAATAAAATGTGATAAAATAGTTTTTCTTAAAACAACATTTAGTGTGATATCTTTGTAATGAACTATTAACTTTTCAGCTAGAGGCAGAATATCACAAACAATATAAACCACAGGCTAACTACTGATTTCAAGGACAGAGAGCTTGATGTTCATATCAGTTCCCCTAAGAAACATTACTGCTATTTTTTGTTTATGTAAAGACTCGCTTTGAAATGCTAGACTTATGGAACCGTTGCTGTACACTCTGAACATTTGGAAGGGACCTTATATTAGTTTGTGTGGACGTTTATCTCTATTTTACACTTTGATATTGTGTATAAAAAACCCACAATACTGACAAAAATCAATAAACAGAACAATACTTACAAAAGCTGCATGCTTTCCACGAAGCCCACGCGTACACTGTTGCCTCCATGGTTTCCAGATGATGAATCCCAAGAGGTAAAGAACAAACATGGATGTTTTTGCAAACGTACTGAAGAACGGTTTTTTGTACATAGTAAAAACATACTGCAGAGAAAAGAGGAAAAAGCCATCACTCATAAACTTATTAAGCTACATGGACCTTCAAACATGGAAAAGTGATTTAAGAAATACAGCATTCCTGGATTTGTATTCAATCTCAGTCAAGACCAAGATTTGTATTAGTTACTGTTCTCCACGCCATAAATTATTAGCATATTTCTGGGCTAGCAAAAATAAATATACTGATTTATTAAAGATTCTAACATATGCATTTTTGCTACTTGCAAATCCTTTGCAAGGTTATCTGTTGCAGCTGAAATTCCAAGAGAGTGGACAAGCCTAACGGATCACATTTTAGGATAGTCTCTTGAAGTAATGAAACATCTTGCAGAACAACCGATGGGACACCAAATTCCTAGTAGATGGATTTGAGAAGAAGTGATTGTGCATAACTTGCTTATCTATGTGGTCGCTCAGAATTGACAATGACTTGATGGCACATAATCAATCAATCAAGAAGGGAAAATTGCATCTAGCTAACAAAATGTGATATATCTATGTAGTCCTCAACTTACAACCACAATTGAGCCAACATTTCTGTTGCTAAACAAAGCAGTACTTAAATGAGTTTTGCCCCATTTTATGACCTTTGTTGGCACAGTTAATCACTGCAGTTGTTAAGTTAGTAACGTGACTGTTAAGTGAATCTGCCTTTCCCATTGATTTGCTTGGCAGGAAGTCACAAAAAGATGATCAGATGACCCTAGGACACGGCAACCGTCATAAATATAAGCCAACTACCACACATCTGAATTTTGACCATGTGACATGGGGATACTGCAATGGTCATAACTCAATTTTATCAGTGCGTAATTTTGAATGGTCACTACATGAATGGTTGTAAGTCGAGGACTTCCTTATGCACTCAGAATATTTTCCCCATCTTGGAAGGGATAAGTATAGCTTTTTTGGAGGGGGAAACAGGAGGAATTTACAAAACTTACCATCTATCTAATGGTGAGATGCACTACCATGAAAATTACAAAATTATTCTACAAAATGTAATTGGTGCATGATATTTGTTGTATATCTGCATGTTTCAATAAGTTGAAATATTTCAGTGGGGTGTATTCACTTTTTCACATGATTGTATAATCTAAGGCTAGTTCTAAAACCTTACAAATCATTTTCTGAGTAACTGGTTTAACAAATAGTGGCTAACAATGAGATGGGCGGTATTCCATGAAGTCCTAAATACTACTAGTTTCACTTAGATTAAAAAAAGTTAAGATCACAATATTGTTGCATTATAGCATGATACTTACCGATGTGAGTTCGGAAGAAGCAACCCATATGACATCAACCAGAAGAAGAATGACAATGCCAAGAGCCATTCGCTTACGCTGAGTCAGAGAACTGCTTTGCGGGTTCATCCGATTCATGATAAAAATCCAAACCATTTGTAACTTGTCAAACAACAGCAGTGACAACGAGTCTTTTAAATGAACTGAAACAGGCTTTATCCTCCAGGAACTGGGTGGGACAGGCATTCAAATATTAAAGTACAGCAAAAATGTAAACCAATGATCAATCTGTATGATATGAAACAAAATTGGACACAATTTATATTACTCCATAAGCAGAATATTAAATCCCCCCCCCACAAAAAAAACCCTAATCCTTGAAATTTTGTTTTGTACTGACATTGTTACCATCAGCATCTAATGATGTTTTCCTGCCCGTTCCTTTGCAGGCAATCTATTTTGGTGGCCCTGATGTCTCTGAACATTGGTAGTACTGTATAAAGATAATGTTTGGTCTGCTAGTATGAGCTAGGAAAATATGGCTGTCCAAGGGAGAGGAAGAGGAGGGGAAGGAGTTGGGTGAGAAGACACTACATCTGGATGCTTAGTTGCCATGATTTCTCTGCTATGCAAAGCATGTAAAAAACAATAAATGTAACATATCTAGGCAAAGGAAGTAACGAGAAAGAAAAGCAATGAAGAAAAAAAAAGACAAAAAGAAAGAAAAATATCTTTGCTTGGTAAGAAGAGAAAAAAATAAATAAAAATGATTGGGTAGCTCCTAACGGTAGAGATTTCTTAGATGATCATCCAGTCCAGTAATATTGCCAATTATTATATTTTGGTTAATGGGAAAAAAAACCTACCCTGCTGTGTAGTCTGAGTGAAATGGTTGTTTTGCAGATGTTTCACAAGCCTCTCTGTTTTGTAATTTTTAAAAAAGCGAATAAATTTAAGGGTGCATTGTAATATTTGTTTTTCACTTCCCACTCAGTTAAAATCCCTGTGCCACTGTATTAACATATTTCAATGCTTCAGACCCTAGTCTGAATTTGAGACCTTTGGATTAAAGCATGGATAACTGAAGTAAAATTTGATTTCTCTATAAAAAATCCTCCCCACCGCCCACACTTGACTAAAGATAAAAACGATAGAAAGCACTTCTAAAATGCAAATTGCTGCTTTAAAGATAGTATAAACCTATTCCCTTTATGTGTAGCAAGTGTCTTGTCATGATAAGCTTTAATTTGTTCCTCTTCATTCACATAAAGCTAGAACTGAGACCAGTAGTGGTTTGATGATTCAAATATGAAAGGAAAAGAGAAATCAGAGTGCCATCTGCATGTTGATGGCACCAATATCTCTGGATATAACAAACATTATTTGATGCCTCGTCAGAACAGAATACAAATACAAGCCATTTATAAGCCTGTGTGCTAGACAATTGCTAGCACATTTAAGTCTGTGAGATTGAAACACCCTTACAATGTTCAGGCTTGCAGCCAAATACATTTGTCTTTTTAAGTGGCTGACATGTAAATTAAATATGAATAGTGGAAATGTGATGTATAAAAGGCCTAAACAGATTATTCTGAATTTAATTGAGGAAAAGGTTAAATACCCACACTCCTTATGTCCGGATTAAAATTGGAGCACAGAAAATAAAAGAAATACATTGTGTGCATATTTTGAACTGCATCCATTTTCATCTAAACAATTCAATATTTTGTTACTTATACTTTATCCCAGGGGTCTCTAAACTTGGCTACTTTAAGACTTGTGGACTTCAACTCCCAGAATACCCCACAGCCTGTATGAGGCTGAGGAATTCTTGGAATTGAAGTCCACAAGACTTAAAGTTGCCAAATTTGGAGACCCCTGCTTTATTCTAATAGACTTGTATTTTGGATAAGCAAACTATAGAATGCCAATTATTTCCAATGATTATTTTCATACCTGTTCTCTAACCTTTTAAGAATAAAATAATGACTGGACTTCAATGAGCTTCATGGCATCATGTAAAGATGAAGAGTATCTCCTAAAAATAATAATAATAATAATAATAATAATAATAATAATAATAATAATAATAATAATAATGGGTGTCAACTGCCTACAGGATAGTAGGCTTTTCCAACTTTCCATCAGATCTTAATCTGCCATTTCACCAATTTTGCAATCCAAGAGTCCCATTTTGAAAACACAGACATGATATGCACAATGCATATGCAAACATAGGGCGTGGGAGTGTAATTGACAAAATGTGTCTTATGACATCTTGATGCAATTCTGTCTGTTATGTATTTGCATGCAATGTTGTGATATAGAAAGGGCAGAAATTGTGCTATAAAGATTTATTTTGGCAAATTATAGCTACCTGTGGATGCCTATAGTTATGTACAATAGTAATATAATAACAGCCTCCTCCCCAGCTGAATTTGGGTGTTAATCAAAAACTACAATTTAGATAAAGTGGTAGAATAAATATCAACTTTAAATATGTGATTTCAGACAGAGATATATTGCACTAGAGCCGTGATGGCAAACCTATAGCATTTGTGCTGGCACGCGAGCCATAGGCAAACTTACCTCACTGCGCATGCACGCGCCTCATAGCTGATTTTTCGGCTGGCTTGAGGCCTTTTTCGGCCTCCCAGAGGCTTGAAAAAAACCTCTGCAGGGTTTGCAGGCCAAATAATAGGCCCGTTTCATAACTTCCTGTAATACCAGAAGTGATGAAATGGCCCTATTATTAAGCCTGCAAAGGCTTTTTTCAAGACTCTGGAAGGCCGAAAAAGGCCTCAAACCGGCCGAAAATCAGCTGTAAGGTGCAGTGCAAGTAAGGGGCCGGCAGCAGGGGGATTGCGCGCACATGCGCAGAGGGCGTGGGGGGGCACACATTGCCTTCTGGGTGCTGGCATGTGCACACAATTTTTGGCACAGGATCCCAAAAAGGTTAGCCACCACTGCACTAGAGTATCAACTACAGACACCCAGTATGTGGTAGTTTTTTAAAGTCAATATAGGTAAATTATAGTTGGAAACCAATCAACAACTAGCACAGGGTTCACAGAATTAATAATTCATGCCCCCCCAAAACTGTAGCCAGTAAATAAGGGCTAGCTGGCATATTCTGGACTAGTTGCAGTTTTCAAGAAGTCTTTAAGCACATTTTAATAGTCTGTCTAGTGCATTAATTACTATACCCAGGTCCTCTTGTACCAATTGGTAGACTAGCCAAAGTCAGGCAAAAGCTCTTTGAGAGTGGAATCTCTGCAAAACAGAGCTGCCAAAACTAAGTCCCATAAGTACAGTAAGATACCAGATGATGGCATCAAAACCACAGAGAAATTCAAAAGTATGCAGAAGAGTTCACTACTTCTACCCAGGTCTTGACTCACGTCATCGTGAAAGAGATCAATACTATCAGGCACGAAACTCAAATGAAAAAAGAGGTGCAGATAATCCATTTCTTCTGCCATCACTATCTCAACAATCTTTGTAAAAAGGAGGCTGGGCACCTGTCAGTAGTTACCTCCAACTACTGAATCCAAGAATAGTTTCTTCACAAGTGGGCATATCACAACCTACTTCAAGACTGCTGATAATTATTCTTCCAGCTAGGAGATACTGACAATCTCCAGGTCCAGGTGGTTAATTCTACAGCAAAAGTACTTTTAACATGATCCTCATTATATTTTTCCAAATACCTCTACATTCTGATAAATATGGTGGGTTTGTTTTCAGGCCATAAGGATGGCATATCGACAAACATCACTTCTAGAAACCTCCAAAAGCAGTTACTAGATTGTCATTTCTGATGTGACACAAGGATAAAAATTATTAAATATGTGACTGGAACAGTCACCTTTCTTTTGTTATATTTCTTTTGTTATATATGTTATTATACTTAATAAAATTATTAAATTTATGACTGGACAGTCATCTTTCTTTTGTTCTTTCTTTTCACCTGCTTTTTAGACTGCTGACAGTAGCATGCCAACTGTGATCCCTGATAATAATAAAAAGATATATGGACATTATTTTATTAGTTGTACGAGGTGATAACCCTTTAGGCTACATAGGAATGAGTAGTCCTAAGGTGGTTAGAATTAGAAGCATTGCTTTCAGTAATAGTTTTATTTTTATCAGAGTCCACAAATTACATCTACAAACAAATACTATTTTCATAGTCCCTAGAAGTGCAAAGCGAATAAAGGATCTCCTTCCTCTTGTTATCCCTTATTCTGCTATAAAATGTATTATTCAGTATCATTAACATTTGCATTCATCAGTAATATATCACATACATTTAAACAGCTGTGAACCAATACTATAATTCTTTATAAAAAATTATACACACGTCTATTTATTTTCCTCATGCTAGTTACACAAAATGCCTTTTTGGAGATGGAAATAAGATCCTGAAAAGTTGAGTTTGTATGCTAGAATGTAATGAAACATGCAAAACAGGACTAACTGCCTGTGTGTGTTTTCTAAAGAATTATCAGCTACAGTTCTAACTACCCTGCCCAAATAAATCATCTGGTTCAGTTTCAGTAAGAACCTAAATGATTTTTTGCTGTCAAAAAAATGCACAGCATAGGTAACTGATGAACATTTGTAACGCTCAAATAAAATAGGAAGAATTAATAGTTATTTGGATGAAAAGAGAAACTCATTTACTACATGCTCTATTTTTTTTTTACTTTAGAGTCTCACAATTTAATTAAAGAAATATTAAAACATGGTAAAACAGATTTATATTTATTTTGCTATTTATATTAATTATATAAGGTATCACAGTTTTCCTTACCTTCTAGATTTTTGTAAACATGACACAGACATATCCCATGGAACACTTTTTTATCTATATTCTTGAGCGTTTTCTGCAAAAATTCAAGAAGAAATAAGTCCTTTGCATTTTCAACCATTTATCAATGGTTATTGTTCTGTCTTTTATTACGATGTGTTAGATAGAGTAGATAAATTTTATATAGATAGATACACATCAATAGATGGCTTTCATTTACTTACTCAAACGTACAAATATATTTCACTTGATGACAGTTCCATTTTATAGTAAAAATATATTACTCAAACAATATCATTTAAAATGAAAATCTTCTGCAGAGATTTTTCTTTACTTCTTCAGATTAATGTCATAAATCACACTCACCATAAACTACCCTCTACTAAATATTAACGTTTAACCCTATTCCACAGTGGTGGTATTCAAAAACTTTTACTACCAGTTCTGTGGGCATGGCTTGGTGGGCGTGGCCATGTGACTGGGTAGGCGTGGCTTTTTTTGCAGCCCCCGCTCATTTTGGGGAGCTTCTTAGCATTTTTAGTGTTTTTACTCCCCCAAGGCTCCTCTGAGGCTCTGGAAGAAAAGGAACAGAGCATGGGAGGGGAATGTAGCACCCCTCCAAGCTCCGTTTTGGGAGCTTCCTAGCCTCAGAAGAGCCTCTGGGGGGCATTTTTGTTCCCTTCAGGCTCCTCTGGGGCTCTGGAAGGCAAAAAATGGAGGGAGGGGCTGAGCTCCTCCCTCCATTTTTTTTGCCTTCCTGGGCCTCAGCAAGGGGAATCCCAGCACAGCTGATCTTATCTACAGCTGATTGTTGGGAGGGAAAAAAAAGAAAGAAATACCTTAGGCAAATGTCAGGCAGGTGGGCAGGGTGAGCGAGCATTGGGCAGGAGGGCAACCGGGTAGGGGGCGTGGCCAGCCAGAACTTACTACTTGTTCACCGACCCACGCCAAATTCTTGTTACCGGTTCACCTGATCTGGCGCGAACCGGCTGAATACCATCACTGCTATTCCACATATTCACTTTTACAGAATGTAAATGACACCTTAGATTTTACCAACTAAAGATAGATGTTAATCTCAAATATTGACAGAGTTGGCCTACAACCTTGAGATTATGCAGAAATGGACTTAAATTTGCCACCAATCCCTAGTGATTTCACAGAAATGGAATGCACACAAGTCATTTTCATAGCAACTGGTCAAAAGTTCTAAAGCTTCCTGTATATGGTACATTTAAAGAAAACCTTAATAATGTATATTTGGGAAACTAGGCCAAAAATACTGTCTAAAAAACATTTGTTTTTTCTCAAGTTATAATTTCTCAGGACTAAATCAAGAATGAAAGGCACTTTATTTTACTTTTTAATGAGATATCCAAGAAAATAAATTTTGTTCAAAGATAAAAATTTGAAGGATTAACCTGAAGAACTAAATAATAGGTTTGTATTGTATTGTAGAATAGTCAGTGGCAATTCTGTCTTTTTCCTACTGGCAGTGGAGACAACATTTATAACTGATGGTTATGTTTCTAATTAAGAGACATACAGATATATAAAGGTACCCACTACTAGAACACAAACCTTTCATCTGCATTTTATTAAGTTTTTTTTTAATTTCACGAGCTATAAATCTTCTCATAATTGCCCAGATTAAAAAGAAAAAAACACAGTGCATTGATTAAAAATGTAATGCATCTTTAAAAATCACTAATTCATTCTTACTGAGATATTTTGTTGCCATGGTAGTGGCAGGTCTTCCAGTACTGTTCGATGTAGTTACTTTCAAATATCTATTTTAAAAAAAGAAGATAAAGCTTGATATTATTTCTGAAATTATCAGTACTAAAATTTAACTTAGCATTTCTTTAACTTTTAATATCTATTACACGCCTCAATTATCTTATCTTGACATTACCATGTAGTTAAATAAAAAAGGTCTTTACAGTATAAATTATCACATGCTTCTACATGTACTTGATCAAAGGTAATTTAGAGGATGGTATGTTAAGCTGAAGAGCAACAAGGTAATTTTTACTTGCTGCCCAATTTCTAATTATGGTGACTTCTCATCCTCCCAAAGTACAACCTTCAGATTGCAGTAGGAAATATACTACTGTTGAATCAGAATGTTCATGTTTGTAAGCTGGGCCTAGTCGCACAACTTGTGGTTTTTTATGAAGATATCAGTGGTGGGATTCAAATTTTTTTACTACCAGTTCTGTGGGCGTGGCTTGGTGGGCATGGCAGGGGAAGGATACCGTAAAATCTCCAGTCAGAGGCGGTATTTGCCAGTTCTCCGAACTACTCAAAATTTCTGATACTGGTTCTCCAAAACTGATCAGAACCTGCTGAATACCACCTCTGGAAGATATGAATATTAAAAAGTACTGTTTTTATTTCTTCTACACTTTGAGATAGCTTGGAAGAAGTAGATTCAAACCTAATACAACCTAAGCACCAAATACGTTTTGTGGCTATCATATTATTATGATATACCAGTACCTTTTTTACAGAGGTATGAAACTATTCAATTATACAGAAGGAAGCAAAATGTTTTATTATACACCTCATAGCATGTGACACCCCACATGTAGCTTGGAAACTAAGCAAGAACTAACATAACAGAGTTAGTACTTGGGAGAATTTGAAAAACATAAGGGAAACCACTAGGCTTGGAAACTAAAAAAAAACCCATCCTAGAACAAGACAATGGCAAACTACAGCTACAAGGAAAACTATATGACTGCATCTATACTGGATAAACCACAAAAAAGTCAAGCTTAACTTGAAGAAGACTATAATTACAGAGACAGCTGGGGTTACAACTAAGCTTAAAATTGCAGTCAATAAACATTCAAACAATTTTATCTCTATTATCTCATTCTGAAATTTAACAAATATGAGATCAAGTTTTGGAAACTGGCTTTGCTTCCAATACCAATAAATAATATATACATTCTGAAGCAGAGAACAATTATAATAGGTATACAGTATTTTTGAATTCCCAGGGAGGGGATTAGATTTTTAAGGCTGAATTATCTGCAATCCATGTTATTTTTTGATACATCAATAGGACTTCCCATTTACAAACAGTTTAACAGCTGCAAAAACAAATGTAAGAAAAAATTCCTTTCCATGATTGAAATTCTTTGTTATTTCCAATTATTTAAATTGTAGTTTTTAACCCATCTGGAAGCATTAGCTGAGAAAAAATTGGCCCAGATCTTGGTGTAATTCTCTTAGCCAGTTCAATGTCAGGTGAGAATTCCGGATCCTCAATAACTTTGGACTCTTTATCAGGGTCATACTAATCCAGTCTTTGAGATGAGAAAAAGTATATTGACATAACTACACTGCCCTAATACTTCAGTACCAAGGCTGAAACACAACAGTGTTTTGAAACTTTAATGTGGGACAAGCTAAAGAAAGCAATTGGTGGATTATCCAGGTAGCTTTTTCCCACTCTCCCATCATCACCGAAACATGTGAAAATCAATAATTATTTTCCTTACTATATGATGAAGTAGGGATGAGTGCATCAGTGAAATGGAATTGAGTGATGGAGGTTTATCATTTTCAAGCTGCTCAAATGACAGGTCAATAGGCTCTGCACTGGTATCTGTCAGTTGGTTATTTCTGAACAAAAGTTTGGTGTTGTCCTGGAAGAATGCTAGATACTTTGGTTTAAACACATGTCTACCATTTTTCTGGAATAGAACTATTATTTTTGTTCAAAAATATTTGGTTTATATTTAACAGGAAGATTCTACAGAACATTAGAATAACTTTCTTCCACTTCAGTCCTTCCCTTGGCTATACCCATCATCTATATGGTTAAAACTGAGAACAGTCAAATCTCTTGTCTATTCAACCCACATCTCATACATTCCAAATCATTAAAGGAATGGCCACTTCAGCAATGAGGAACCAAGCCCCTGAAAGTACAGTTAGTCCTCCCTTAGTGATGGTATTTAGGATCAGCAACTTAGTCACAGTCATAAAGTATGAAATCAGGCGACCACATTGATTTCCAAGGGTAGTAGCAGTAATTATTAGATGAATCCCTTGTGGTCCCATAGTCAGATGATCACCATTTGTGACTTCCTCCAGGCTTCTATATATTGATTTTGCTGGTTGGAACTGGCAGTGAAGGTTGCAAATGGCAATCATATGTTTGCGAAATGCTGCAACATAATTGTGAGTTGGTTGCTAAGGGCCCAAATTGTGAATACATGAATGTGGGGACTCTATAATAACTGTAAGTACAAGTAATGGTAGTAAATCCCCATGCTCAGCACTGTCATAACCTCAAATGGTCACTGAATGACCAATGGTCACTGCATGCAAAATGGCAGTGGACTTGGCCATGTGAAGCTTATACTTTTGTAGAAGCAGCAGAAAACCTGTGTATAACTATAAAAAATCAGTTGGCAGAAACAGTATTTCTTAAAGACAGATCTCACTCTTTTTAAGGACTGCTGAACAAGGTCTTTAAGGAAACAGTTTCTGTGTTCTTGCAGAACATCATATCTATTTTAATAAGGAGCCCATTCAACATATAACAAATGCTTTGAAAGTGGCATAAGGCATAACATTGAAGCTAGATGCCTGGTCTCTCTTTCAGCCCAAACTAAAATAGCCATTGAATGCAATATTAAGCTACCAGAGAGAAATGCCCACAGCAGCTGGGGAAATCCCAGCCCATGACTCCCAGCACTGTTAGTGAGCTATTGTAGATCATTCATAAAACAAGAGTACACAACTGTATTGAGAAGAACTATAACTGCTTCTGCCTCTGGTGATGGGATAAAAGTGACATGTCCTTTAAAAATAGCTAGCAAAATATTTTCGTTCTGTAGTCAACAAGACGCAAGGATGACTTTTTAGATGTATCAAAGTGTCATCCTCTTTTCCCATCCTCTTGTGCTTGTTCTCGCCATTCTCATCATGGTGGAAAGTATTTTTGGGAAGGGTAGGCAAAGAAATTTGGAAGTACATGCCACAAGTATATATTCCCAGCAGAGTCACCCAAGGTGTGAGGTTATCCCAGCTGTCCTGCTAAACCAAAGATGCACCTATATTGGGCAACAATGATACAGGAGGATGCTGGAGGTAGATGATATTTTAACAGTGGCCAAAGCATCAATTCACTCTACACAGGAAAAGGCAATAGTAAACAATCGTTGTACTTTTAGCAAGAAAACCACATCTTTAGTGATTTTCTTGCTAAAAGAAAACATAAAATTGATTATATAGTGTTGGATGTTGGGTCCCTCAGGTTAGATGACACGACTGAGGAAGAGCTGAGTTGTAATGGTGTTTATGATGGGTCTAAATTAAAGTCTTTGGGATGTCTATTTGTTGAAGTTGTCATGCAAGAAAATACCAAGCTGTAAAGACTGGGATCACACTGGGATCACGAAACGTAAGATACATGAACCCAGGAAAGTTAAACACAATAAAACTTGAAATAAAATAACTACAGATGGATATCTAAGGCATCAGTGAATTGAGCTAGATTAGGATTAGACAATTTTGCTCAGAAGATTACACTGTTTTCTGCTTAGGATACGAAACACAAGGAACAGCACTGTTTTTATAGTTAAGAAGGGTGTAGCAAGAAAAAATATTTGGCTACAATGTGATCAATGACTGAATAATATCAGAGTTCATGAACAATATGAATTTCACATGCTAGCAAAATAATGTGTAGGATCATCCAAAGCAGATTAGAGCCTTACATGGAAAAGGAGAAGCCAGATGTTTAAGCTGGCTTTAGAAAAGGCTGGAAAAAAAACAAGACATTGCTGATGTACCCTGGATAACTCAGAAAGCTAAAAAATACCAAAAAATCAGTATATGTTCATTGATTATACAGAAGAAATATCTTAGATGGTGTCAATCACATCAAGCTGTGGAATGTGCATAGGAAAACAGAAACCTCAGAACAGCTTGTTTTCCTCATGCAAAATCTATCTACTACACAGGTTGGGGAGCCAAAGTAAGGCTACATAACATGGTGAAATAGCAAATGAGAGAAGGTTGCACTCTCTCCCCTTGTGTACTCAATCTATATATATTAAGGAAAAATGTATTAGAAGAAAATCAGTGTGGTTTTAAAACTGAAGAAAAAACATCAATAACATGCGGCACAGTATGCTGAAGATACTATTGTACTCTGATAAACAAAAAAAAAAACATAGAATCTGTAAATTCTAGAAATAAAGTCAAGTAGAAAAGTGAAAAATGAGATTCAAACTAAATGTAAAGTTTAAACTAATGACAACCGGTATAACAACAAGCTTTAGAACTATCAGTGAAACTATGGAAATGGGAAATAGTTTCTGTCTTTTAGGATCAACCACCAGCAGTAAAAGAACAAGCAGCCAAGCCACAGACTACCCTGTGGTAGAGTAGCCATGAAGGCTTTGGAAAACACATTCGGATGCTGTGATGTGTCTACCTACCTACAAAGATCAGAATTGTGCAGGCCCCTGTGACATTCTATGGAAGCCAAAGTAGGACTTTGAAAAAGCAGAATAGAAAAAGTATTGATGCTTCTGAAATCTGATATTGAACAATGTTCTGAATACTGTGGGTGGACAAGAAAACAAGCTAATTGAATATGTCAATCCAGAGTTCTCATTCAAAATACAAATGACCAGGTTCAAATTATCCTACGGTTGTTTTTGCAAGATGTTGTTTAGAATATTTTGGAACTGCACCATGAAGGGTTTTAAAGTTTGAATGAACTGGGCCCAGAAGCCCAGTAGCAACCCGTAGAATAATTTCAAAGTGTTATCCTAGCTTGCCAGAGTAGTCCAGTCAGGAGTCTAAGCTATAGAGCTTCTACAATAAGCAACTGGTGAGAAAGAGATGGATTACCATCACCAAGACAGCAATAAAAACTGCACCAGCCAGATTTGAGCAAAGGCTTGCCTGATTTCCATTTTCAAAGCAGGAACTAAGAAGCCAGACACACACCTCAAATTAAAACCATTCCCTTAGAGTTTTCTATATCACCTTGTTAAAAATTGAGTGGTGGTGACACAGAATTTTGTAGCCTACATATGGGAGGCTCTATTCAAAGGAACCAAACTTGCAAACATGTGGCCCTCTTTCATTCTGTAAACTACCTTTTCTTACACTGACTTCACTTTTCCACTGGTCTAGTTAGCGGATTTTGAGCTTGTCATTCTTTAAATAATAACAATAATCCAGCTTGCCCAAAGCCTGCTGTCCACCTCTGCTTTGACATATCGTACACGAAGAGCGAGCTTTGAAACTTCCCCCACTCCGCACGCTCTTCGCGGCCAAAGAGGAAGTACAGCTTGACTTCTACACACACCGTAAACGCGCACACACACTTCACACAGGAACACAACCGTCAAACCAAGCTAGTCTCTGACCCCTCCGCGGGACGGCTTGAAATTTGCAACGGAGAAATCTAGACCAAGCGCGGTGGGGTTTACATTATTGTTTGACAGGACGCGGAGAATAATATTAGTGTGCGAGTAGGGGATCCACGCGGGGGCAGAGCTGATGGTGTGTGTAAAAAAAAAAAAAAAAAGTTCGTTTGCTCAGTTCCCTTGAGGTTCGCGGAGCTCGTCCCGCCGCCTTTCCTAAACTTGCTCCCCCTTCCACACCTTTTGGCTTCAGCCCGGCTGCCACAGCCGCATCTGGAGACGGGCGGCTTTCCTGCCGACATCCTGGCGGGAGCTTGACGGGAAAGCGGCTTGGAGAGATCTCCAGCGTTCTTCACCCGACGCTCCGGGGACCCCACCAAAATGGACAGCCCGTGGTTTTGAATACCTCTGCGGGAGCACCTCTCCGTCCCGTGCGTTGGCTGGCTGGCTCGCTCGCTCGCTCCCTCACTCGACCGGAGCCCCGTTTTCCCAAAGATGGTGGCCAGCCCCTCTCCTCTGCCCCGCTCTCGCCGTCCCAGCTGACTCGGCCGAGGACTTGGCCGGTTGCCTGGGCCGAAGTGAATCGAGGGCCGAAAGGAGGAGCCACTCGCTCAAGCTGTTCATCGAGTCGCTCGGAGCTCTATTGGCGGCCCTGTATGTCGGTTTGCCTCCGCCCTTCCCCCCCTCCTCCCCGCTCCGGGCCTTCTCGAGACTCTTGGGCGCGCGCTCCCGCCTTGCTTGCTTGCTTGCCTCGCCCGTGGAGAGAGCAATGAATATAGGGCGTTGAGGACGGGGTGAGGCGAGGCGAGAGAGGGCGAGGGTGGCTCGTAGGAGTATTCGAGAAGGTAGTAAGGAAGGCGGAGGGTGGAGGGGGAAGGAGCTGTCTTTTGGAGGAATATTTGCATTAACAAAAACCGAAATGATGGTTGTGGAGGAAAATGAGAGCTACTATGAGAACTGCCCCCCCCCAAAGCCAACACAGTTCTAGGGTGCATTAACATAGGGATAGAATCAAGATCACGTGAAGTGTTAGTAGCAATAGCACTTAGAAGACTTATATAGTGCATCACGGTGCTTTATATCCCTCTCTAAGCGGTATACAGAGTCAGAATATTTCCCCCAATAATCTGGGTCCTCATTTTGCCCACCTTTGGAAGAATGGAAGGCTGAATCAACCTTGAGTCTGGTGAGACCCAAACTGCCAAATTGCAGTACTGCAGTCTAACCACTGCATCACCATGGCTAATACCACTTTATGATGCTTTGGTAAGGCCACACTTGGCATACTGCATCCGGTTTGTTGTTGGTTGTCATGTTATTTAAAATGTTGAGACTACAGAGAAGAGCAACAAAGAGGATTAGGGAATTGGAGGCTAAAACATAAAGAGTGGTTGCTGGAATTGGATATGGCTAGTTTAATGAAAAGAAGGACTAGGGGAGACATGATCAGTGTTCCTGATATCTCAGGTGTTGTCACAAAGAAGAGGGAGTCAAGCTATTCTCCAAAGCACCTAAAGTTAGGACAAGAAGCAATGAATGGAAACTATTCAAGGAGAGAAGCAAGAAGAAATTCCCTGAAATTTTTCTGAAATGGTATAGGGCAATGATGGCCAACTTTTTGTTGTTGCATGCCAAAAGTACACATGCGTGCACACGCACGTATGCCTGCATCCATAATAGCAATAGCAATAGCACTTAGACTTATGTACCACTTCATGGTGCTTTTACAGCCCTCTCTAAGCAGGTTACAGAGTCAGCATATTGCCCCCAACAATCTGGGTCCTCATTTTACTCACCTTGGAAGGCTGAGTCAACCTTGAGCCTGGTGGGATTTGAACTGCCAAACTGTAGGCAGCTGGCTGCAGAAGTAGCTTGCATTACTGCACTCTAAACACTGGGCCACAGAGTCTCTAATAATGCAATACACACATGATTCCTTGCCCCGCCTACACTTGTGTGCGGGCCCCCTTGCATGCCATGCGCCTCTGCATGCATGCATGACCCCCATGTGCCGCATGCCTCTGCATATGCATGCGCATATGCATCTTCGTGCGCGCTCTGCCCTCCCCTGCACATGTGGGGCAGATACCTGATGGCTGGTGGGAGGCGCACACGCATGTGCAGTGGACCTGATTCGGGCGATGGCTTGCGTACCGGCTGAGATGGCTCTGCGTGCCACAAGTTCTCCATCACAGGTCTTGGGTTTCCTGCCTGAGGTGGGACTTGAAGGCCTCCAAGATCCCTCAAACTCTGTTATTCTATTTTATCCGTAGGCTGCAAAAAATCCAGATAACCACTAGACAGCAGCAGAGATGCCTAGGAAGTTCTGTCTTTTTGCTGCTGTCTAGATTTTTGCTGGATAGATACAGTAGTGCTGCACTAAATAACTTAGGGTTGCGATCTTATATGGATTATTGTATTGGGAGTCCCTTCATTGGAACAGATGGGTTCATCAGATCAGTGAGCATGGACAGGATCTGGGCTGGAATTCACGCAAAGCGTGATGCTACAATGGGATTGGCTGCTTAGTGTGTTTCACATACAGTCATTTATTCATTATTATATCTTATTCATTGCAATTATGAAGTTTGAAGGAGCCTTAGGGAGACTGCACAAAGCCTCAGAAGGATGTCTTGCTTCAATAATATCTTGTGATATGTGAATAATTTGGAATTATCCTGTCTTTAAATAAGATGTTTTATTTGTTTTTTTAGAAAAGATGTTCTATGTTATTATATTCTACGTTTTGTTTGTTTGTGTATTGTTTTTTAAAATTAATAAAATTTGGTTTTTTTTAAAAAAATAACTTGAATTAATATGCCTTTAAATTTGTTTTACAATGTCCCTTAACATGCTAAATAACAAAGTACAACTGCCAGGTTGTTTTGCTTTTTGTCATATATGTACCTGAAGTTAAGGTGCACTATTATATATCCACTGTATTTCCATGACCAATTAAACTGGTTATGCTGTCACAAAAAAGAGATTGGGTTGGTTTGGCAAGATTTACCCTGGACAATCACATGCTGATTCTTGCCAGGCAGTGGTCACAAAGATTGCTTAATCATTTGTTGCCTTACACTGTCTTCTATTATTATCCTTTTCGCTTGTAATTGAGCTTTCAATATCTTCTTTTTAGGAACTGGCTATATTAGAATTTTTTCCCATTTCGTTTATTCTGCATGGAATCCCACACTGCAATATTTGCACTGCTTTTCAAGGTACATATTTGAGTACACTTGTCTTTAGATTCCTGTAAAATCAACTAAACCAAACTTTGAACCACATCAACCACCTACTAAGGCTTACCTGGTTGGAATAAAGTCAAGATCTTCCTGTGCCCTCTTGTGCCATCTTCTACCCTATGAAGAACAAAGTTATCAGCAAGGCAGCTAAATCTTGGAGGAACCACATCTGACAAATGTTGGCTTTCAACAGATGTTAAGGAAATAAATTGGTCTAATATTTTCTTTAAAAATCTTTCTTCCTATATTATACAATGAAATAAGACACAATTTACTGCCACTGGTATATTGTGTATCCATTGTAAAAACACATTTTACATAAGCTGTTGCCTACATTCTTAATTTGAAAGAAAAGAAAGAAAAAAAACCACCACAGTATTCTTGCAAAAATTACCAGATATTTTAACATTGCTAGTGGGTTATACTCTTATCTCAAGCATTAGAAATTATCAGTCATAGAATTCAAAAGCAATAAAATGAAATGTGAAATGCACACTTTGTGTTTATAAACCTGTGACACAATAAGAAATATAATCCATTTATTGTTACTACAGTTGTGAGTTGAATAGAGTATGCATGAAAATAGAAAATATGCAAAATAATTTGCATAATTTCAAAAGCATCTTAAGCATTGCTCCTGTTGGGAAGACTAAGTTATAAATATTGTGACTTATTTTGAGAATGGAAAGCCACCTGGAGCCTACAATAGAATAATACAATCAAATATTGTAGTTTTAAACATTTTTGAGTTTGAGATTTCCAATCCCTTACAATTAAAAGTAGTTATTGTCAGACTCAGTTATTTCTCTTTATTATTTTCTTGGTTTATCCTACATTGATTGATTGATTGGGTCAATTCAAGGCAGCTTACATACCTAATGCTCCCACTTGTATTTTTCCTACAACAGCCCTAGAAGATTTGCTGTTCTATCTAGGATGTCTTATAAAACATATATTGTAGTCTAGACTGGCAGAAGAATATCATGGCTAAGAAGACGGAGGGAGAAGATGGCACTTGGAATGTCAGGATTTGGGTGACAAATTCTGGTGAGAGACGCAGAATCATAAAACAAGTGGGTGGGATATGCAGTGCCTATAATTACCTGTTTCGGGTGAGGCATACACCAACCAGTCTTGTCCTACTAGCTCCATAAAATTTATTGAGTTTTTGCAGATTTTGTTTTATCTGAAGCTCAAAGTATAGAAGCATTCTGTATCCAGGTTTGAAACGAAGTGTTTTGTGTGGACTCCAAGTTTTGGGGTTAATCTTTAAAGTTCTGTTAAGATAGTCAATATCTTGAATAAAAGAATGTAAACAAAAGAGGCACTTTTCACATGTATCTGCACTACAGGCTTGAAAATATGGGTCAGAATATGTTTTTGAGAAAGCAGTGGAGAAGTTGAATGTAAATTGAATGAGATTTAGTGATACTGCTTTTAAAAATGAGAGTTCGACCACACTGCTAGGGTTTCTGTTCTTTTTCAGTTTAAGCAGCAAAGAGAGGCAGGGCATATGACTCACCCATCCCATGATTCTCTTCATTAGTAGCTTGTGTTTTCCCAGTTTCTGGCAGATGACAGACTTAGTTCCTGGTTGAAATTGGAGACAGATGTCATCCTTACTTCCAAAAGATTTTGAAAAGGAAAAAAAAAGTTAGACTCAAAGCCAAGTTGGGAAATTTACCTTTATTGTTGCATATTTTTTTCTAGGCTAAAGGTCACACACTGATTTTGAATACCACGCTGCTCCTGAAACTGGGTGAGCCAGAATCAAAACTGGTTTAACATTTTGAATGCAGTACAGTTAGAGTTAATATAGTTGGTATCAACCATGCATTTAATGATTTTCCTCATTTATTTCATTACAATTTGGTGAGAACTTCTGGAACACCTGAGGGCATAGACATGTAAAATGCATGGGGTGGGTGGTGAGAAAACTGTCCTGCGTGCTTATATTTGAATCCAGGTTCATTGCAGCAAATCAGTAGTGGGTCATTTCTAACAAGAAAATGTCACTCAAATGTGTTAATTTTAAAATGTTTTTACTGCTATATTTAATGGATGTTACCTTTTTATTTTATTTTTTAAAAAGGGTGATTTAAAGATTCTTTAAACAAAATGTAAGCATACAGCAGGGGTGGGATTCAAATTTTTTTACTACTGGTTCTATGGGGGGCGTGGCAGGGGAAGGATACCGTAAAATCTCCAGTCAGAAGGGGTATTTGCTAGTTCTCTGAACTACTCAAAATTTCCACTACCGGTTCTCCAGAACTGGTCAGAACCTGCTGAATATCACCTCTATAACTGTACAGATTAAATGAAAGAATGCACTATAAATAGATGTG